GGATCGACATCAAACTGACAGGCCTGTAGTTTCCTGGATCCTCCATCTGAACACAGATCTTGATGATGCCACACAGCTGATAATAGAAATCAGTTCATAGTATGCACACATAGCTCACCCTCCCTGCTTCCTTAAAAAACCCATCCTTGGAGAGTGACCCCTTGCTGAAACCTCAGCCACAGAGACACACTCTGCTCTGCCTGGTTATCCCTCGATGCTCCCCTTTAAGGTCCCAGAGCTTCCTCTTACTGAAGCGATCATGAAGATTATCAAGAAATGCAATCGCATACTCATGCTCTTTGTCTCCTTGAAAGTGGATTGATGAAGCTGGTTCTTATTTCACATTATCCTAGAGTCATAGAGTCATAGAATCATAGAACCATTAAGATTGGAGAAGACTTCTAAGATCATCTAGTCCAAGCGTCTACCCAACTGGACCAGGAGCACTAAACCATGTCCCAGAGTGTCACCTCTATACTGGTTTTCATCACTTGAAGACGTACTGTGGGATTTCTAGGAAAGGACCAAAGGCAGGGAAAGGGGGGAATCAAGGTTGACTGAGGATAAAATAGGGCTAAAAATGACCAGTCACATCTGAAGACGTTGCTGGTAAGAACTCTTGCCTGGTAGTGCCCTACATCTGATCACCCCAGCCTGTCCTGCATCCTTGTTAAACTCCATTTAACAATTTCCTGAGCGAATCTCTGCTCTTTGTGCATAGGGAGCTGTGATGTGAGAGACTGGCCCCGGGGTGAGGACCACAAGTCATAGTAGCTCATGTTAGTGAACATCCAGCCAGGGTAGGTAGTGAGTAGGATACGGGATCTGGGAGCCGAGTATCAGAAAGACCTTAAGTCTGGACCAGAGACCAGAGAGTCTAGAGGCCCTGGGAGCTGATTGCTGGAGAGAGAAGGTGGTCCAAAGCACCTACGGGTAAAACCATGGGGTCCTGGGGCTCTGCTACTGGTGCGGCCATAAGTCTGGACCAACAGAGGAAATGGCCCTTTACTAGTCATGCCAAGTACCTCAGATACACCTCTAGAGGTTTGAGCTGGGTACTTATGGTCAGACCTGGGAGACCAACCTGAAAACCTGGGAACTGCACTCAGTACATTTTAAAAAAAGAAAAAAAGAAAAGAAGAAAGAAAAAAAAAAGCACAACATGTTTTTACCAGCTGAAATTTTCTAATACTGTTGAAATACTTTTCTGGAGCTCTCAAACCAGGACAAACACTTTCAATAAAATGTCACTGTCATTTCTATCCTCCTAAACTCTGAATCTTGACAAGCTGTATTAACTGAGGGAAAAGAAGCACTGAACCTCCCCTGTGCTTGCATTGCCACCACTCTGTCCATAACGCTGTGTCTTTAATGTCCCTAAACATCCAGGTGTGAGAATGTTCATTCAGCTGGTGCTGCCCGTCCCAGGCAGTCAGCTGCCCCAGCTGCCGAACTTGCTGCCCAGGATGAGATGAGGGAACTGTCCCCGGGGCCCCTCGAGCCCCTCCTGCTGCCCCAGGGACAGAGCAGTCTGCCCCGAGCTGGCACCCACAGCTTCTCTTGCTGTGCCTCACCTGCACACATATGATGCCCTTCTCTTCTGCCAGGACATCTCATCTCCACACAGAGCCTTACCCCAAGGTCAGCATGTCTTTGCTTGCCCAGCCAGACATTCCAGCACCCCTTCCCATGCTCCCCACAGCCCCTGAGCTGGGACAGCAGCTCTGCAGACACCAAGCACTGATGCTCCCTGGCCCTGCTGCTGCACCAGGACTTTCTTCCCCTCCTCCCTCCACCTCTGCACATGCAAACTGCCCTGAAGCTTGACAAAGGTCTCAGAGGAAGGATCTCAGACAAATAAGAATTTGTAAGGCCCTTTAATTTATTTAAATACACAGAGAATTTTTTTTTATTATTTTACACAGCGTATGGATGAAATTCAACAGGTAGACAGTGAATTAGAAGTGAAGGGAATAGTAAGAGTTCATTGCGCACAATGTTATCTCAAAACCAAATAAAAAACTTTGACACCATCATCTCCAAAACCCTGAGAAGGCAGACTGGGCCTGCAATGAGTTTGTTGAGTGTCAGGGCTGGGCAAGTCACTCAGTGCTGAAAAATGTTCTCTAATCTCTCTCCCTCTTAAAAACATGAAGAGAAATGGAATAAGGCAGAGAGAGTTACAGATTGGAAAAGAAAATGAAAACAGCTTTAATAAAGCAATAATAGAAATAATAAGGAAATAATAAAAATACCTAGCTATATACAAATGTATAGAAATATATACAAATATATACAAATATATATACAAATCCGATCTTGAATCTGACACACACACACACACAGCCCCCGAATTCAATCCCCACTGGTACTGCAGAGCCGGTGGCACCGGGGCAGACCCAGGCTCAGCAACAGAGGGGAACCTGGCAGAGAGGCTGGATTCAGGAACTTGGGATTGGGATCACAGGCAGGAGATCAGACACAGACATCCTTGGGTGCTGCATGGGGGAAGACAGTTTAACACTCATGTTCCATCACTTTATACTGAATATAATGTGTGTGGAATGGAATACTCTTATTGGTCATCTGTCCTGGCTGTTCCTCACTGCAGCTGTGACTTTTCATTTCCTTGTGATCCTTTTACTTCCCAGCACCCCAGCGTTGCCCACAAGACCCAGCAATGGCTTCGGTCATTCCAGGAGACAG